CTTACTGCTGCTCGCATCTGAAATCAGGGGGAGGTATAAAGGTACCACAGTTGTCTTGGTGACAAGCTGTGTCCAGACAGGTCCAAAGTCACTGTTGGATCAAGAATACTAGTAGAGCAGGAGTGTGCTTGAATAGAATGAGTAAGTTCCCAGAGTTGTGCCAGCTTCATACCCTCTAACACATCGGATTTTAAACTTGAGGATGCATCAGGAAGCTGTTAATCAGGTTGTTAAAACACAGACTGCCTGGGCCCCACCCACCCCTGAATTTCTAATTCGGTGGGTCCAACGTGTTTCCAGGTGATGTCTAGGCTGCTGGTTGAAGACAGCCCTTAGAGCACCACTGCTGCAAGCAATGGCTGGATGGGTGCCCACCCTCCTGTCTGCACCGGGTCCAGCCACATGGGAATCCCCAGAGCATCCTGGATAGTCCTCAAGACAGGCACGAGGGATTTCCCTGGTGGTCCAGCGGTTAAGACTTCACCTTCTAACACAGCGGGTGTGGGTTCAATCCCTGGTCAGGGAGCTGAGATCCCACATGTCTTGCAGCCAAAAAACCAAAACATAAAATGGAAGCAACATTGTAACAGACTCAATAAAGACTCTAAAGATGGTCCACATAAAAAAAGAAGAAAAAGTCTTAAAAAGAAGAATAAGCAGGCAAGGAAGGCAGAATGGTGCTTCAAGAGTGTGACATAATGATTTGTAAGGGCCAAACACAAGTCAAGTCATATGTCTCAAGAGCTTCTTGATTGACAAGATAGAGGGAGAAAGGGCAGGACTTGGATCATGGGCTTTCCCTCATCAAGCCCAGCTCAAAGCGGTCTGTTATAGAGGAGCCCCATTCTTTGTGGAAGGAGGAGGTAGTTTCATTTAAGGAATGGGAGGGTGAGGGCCCTAAAGTTTGGAGTTGGATGTATTGCTATTAACAAACAAGATATGCCAGTATTGGGCCATCCATATTGTATACTTGTGGACTTTAAACTTTTTTGCTTGATAATATTTTGTCATAAGTCTTGATAGTTACAAAGGCTGTATTGTAAATATTGATAACTTTAAAAAAAAATGTGTCTGTATTCACTGGCAGGAGTGATGCTGAAACTGAAGCTCCAATACTTTGGCCACCTGATGTGAAAAGCCGACTCATGGGAAAAGACCCTGATGCTGGGAAAGATTGAAGGCAAACGGAGAAGAGGGAGGCAGGGGATGAGATGGTTGGATAGCATCACCGACTCAATGGACATGAGTTTGAGCAAACTCCGGGAGATAGTGGAATTCAGGGAAGCCTGGCGTGCTATGGTCCACAGGGTCTGAAAGAGTTGGATGTGACGGAGAGACTGAACAACAGGGACTTCCCTGGAGGTCCAGTGGTTAAGACTTAGTCTTCCCGTGCAGGGGGTTTGGGTCTGATCCCTGGCTGGGGAGCTAAAATCCCATATGCCTAGTTGCCAAAAAACCAGAACATAAACAGCAGAAGCAATATTGTAACACATTTAATAAGAATTTTCAAATGGTCTATGTAAAAAAAAATCTTTAAAAAATTTTAAAGATTTCTTTCAAACTGCTGTGTATATCGTAGCAGTTTGACACCACCATTAACCATTTTTTTTAAATACATGAAAAAACTCTTACTGACAATGTTAAATTTTATCTGAGCCCTGTGCTCCTGGAAAACATCAATGGTGAAGAAATTTCCCCTATCCTTTTGTGTTCCAGAAAATAGTTACTGCAAAGAAATACAGTGCCCCATATGACTCCTAGATTGAGTCCTGGCACCGCCACTCCAAATTCCTATTCTTTGCCTCATTCGTGATTAACTAAACTATTGGACCTATGGATCAATTGGAATAAATTGCTTATAACCAAACATTGGTTAAGCTTTTTTCTTCCATCAGTTCCCTTGAAGCTTGGCCCACCCAGAGCCAGTTTATAATCCCTCTGGACTCCTCCAGAGAATAGGCTGGCCTCAGGGTAAAACAATCTCCAAATCTAATATCTACTGATATAAAAGAATCTGGTCACTCTTGCTTCCACAATGTATTCTTTCTGGCCCTGTTTTCTCCTCCTTATAAAAGAAAACTCTTTTTGCCTAACTCTTGAGAATTAGCAGAGCATTTTCTCTATTGCAATAAATCTCCCCTCCCAACCATCCATCCCCCTAATCCTTTCAGAAAGTTTCTCTTTGCTTAATCTGGATTTGTTTTTTTTAATTTATGTGCAACATTCTTTGTTCTTCTTCAATTTATATTTCCATTCACCTTCTGCTATGGCGTTTTATCCTAGTATCATATTTTCATGTTTGGCAATATTTTCTGGAGAACCTGATCACATTTTAATGCCACAAAATTATGGACATCTATTTGAACTTGTTAACACTAGAAAAATGTCTTGTGACCATAAAGGTTCCAAGTGTGATTCTTTTTTTCTGTCTTGTGACCCATAGGGGTCGAAGTGTCATATTTTTTCCTTCCAGACTGAGATATTGTTGCAATTATTTGTATTGTAAATGAGCAAATGATAAATACACAGCATTTCGTTGTACGAGCAATAATCTTTAAACATAAAAAGTAAATTTTCACTAGAAATGCCATCGGAAATGTGTCCCTTTAGGAGATAGATTGAACCAGTTATTTTTTCCGTTAAGTTTATAAATCCAGGGATGAATATACTTTTTGCTAGAATGAGAAAGAGTTGGGCCTTCTGTGTTTTTTTTTTTTCTCCATGCGCTGCTGCTCGCGCTCCTGTTTTGTTTTTAAGGATATAAGCACTGATAAACATTGTTCAGGTGAAAGACAGAAGTGGAAGGAGGTTTTCCTAGCAATGTCTCAGTTCTTTTGATTCCTGATAATTACCCAGCCTCAAAACAATATTTTTGATGACCTATTAGCTGACAAAATGATTAAATCCTCCTTGGATCATAGAATCAGAAACCAACAGACTTGTAGAAGGGTTTCTTGCCAGTCCTCAATAATAACCCATTGTTATTGCTGTTCAGTTGCCAAGTCATGTCCAACTCTCTTGTGACCCCATGGACCTCTGTCCATAGGATTTCCCAGCAAGAATACTAGAATGGGTTGCCATTTCTTTCTCCAGGGGATTTTCCTGATCTAGTGATAGAACCCATGTCTCCTGCTTGACAGGGGATTCCTTACTGCTGAGCCACCTGTGAAGCCCAATTCATATTTAGAACAGTCTTATTTTTCTTCCTCCCCCAGAGATGCCTTTATTTCCCAGGGTAATGTTGCATAGCAAAGCCTAAACTGGGTGTGTGTGTGTGACTTTCCTTTGTAAGGGGAGAGACAGCTGGTTATACAAGGGGAGAGGGAAACTGGATTTTAAAGACTCCAGTTCCATTCCCAGGTCTAGTCCCATGGGAGTCGAGGATCTGATAACTGACGCTTTCTTGTCACCAGAGTTGCCTCTGACAAAGTTGCCTCTGACAAAGTTACCTCTGAAAACAGCTGCTCTGCATTCCTTCCCTTCTGTCTGTCCTCTCAATGTCGCCTCCTAAGGAGCTCAGGAATCTGTCCCAAGCTCTTCATCCTCCCCGCCTAGCACTCTGGCTGGTCTTCCCACATGGCACAGTGGTAAAGAATCTGCCTGCCAAGGCAGGAGATAGAAGAGATGCAGGTTTGATCCCTGTGTCGGGAAGATCTCTGGGGAAGGAAATGGCAACCCACTTCAGTATTCTTGCCTGGGAAACCCCATGGAGAGAGGAGCTGGTGGGTTACAGTCTATAGGGTCCAAGGAGTCGAACACAACTGAGCAGGCACACACGCATGCATCACTCTGGCCACCAGGATCTTATCCTGCCTCAATGTCCACAGTCACCCTGCTCCCACTCCTCTTTCTCCAGGCATGGTCTGTTCCTCTCATACTGCAGCCAGAGTGAGCTCCCCCAAATGTAAATCTGCTGGTGAACCAACTCTGGCTGAAACTCTTTCCAGCTCCCCCAAACCTTAAGCAATCTGAGTAGGAATGCTTATCTCTCTAGTGGCCTTATCCTTTGTCCTGCTCCCCTTGAATCTGTATTCTGGTCAGAAATAGGCCCATGTACCCCTGAGCCTCTGGTTACCTTGCAATGCCACTGCTGATTGCAACATGGAGCTAGAAGGAATCTGACTTCTTAGGTAAGGTTCTTAGTTTGGATTCGAGCTGTTTTTCCTTAATTTCCTTAAATATCAATCTCCTTAATTGTAAAACAGAAATAATATATTAAAGAGTTAGTCAGACTAAATGCATGTATTGCCTGGCATATTGTTAATGCTCAATAATAAATGCACGCTCTTTATTATTGTTTTTATTATTCATGTTGCAGTTAAGTCAGCTGTTAACCTCTGTTACTGTGCCACTGTGAGCAAGTAGTATCTCCACTGATGGTGTTTATTCTATGTGTCCCATTGCGGAGCCCATACTAGGAACTTATTACTTATGAATAAAGTACTGCAAAAGGATCTATGAAAAAAAATAGCACCGAAGGAGCAATCCTAATTTTAAAAAATCTTTCCTTAGTGCTCATCAGTTATATTATTATTTCACCCAGTCTCCTCAACACCGGAGGAGGTAGGGGCCACCTTCTGCAACTGTGGGTGTGTACTCCGTAAGTCATTCTGCCTTTAGTAGCACGGAGCCCATGAGTCCACATCCCCACCCAGGGAGGGGGATGAATTGGAGCCTGGGGACCTAGGTGGGAGCGGACCCTGGTGAGTAAAAAGGCCAGTCCCCTCCAGTCGGCTTTAAAATTTTCCGCGGGCGGGGCCAGCCTGAGCACAAACTACGCCCCTCTAGGAGTTCCCGCCCCTTATGCTCCCAAGTGCCAACCGGCAGCGAGCCAGGCTTCCGGCCAATCAGAAGAGGCCTTAGGCGGGCGCTGCCGTCCAGCTAGCCAATAGGCGGGCGGCCGCTGCGGGGCTTGCCCGGGCGTGTAGCAGCTGCCGGCTGCCTGGACGCCACGTGCTGGCGTGAGGAGACTCGCGGGGCTTTCAGGTAATCTCGGGGACTCTGCCGGCGATCACGGGGTGGGCGAGCTGGTGCGACATGTCCAGGCTGCGGAGGGGCCCCGCGAGGTGTGTCCGCCCCCGACTTGTGGCAGGGGTGCTCCCGGCCGGGCCGGCTCGGCTCCCGGGGCCCCAGGAGTGCAGGCCCGGTCCGGGGCGCCTCCTGGCCCGCATCGCGCCCTGCTCTGGGGTCTCAGGCCTGAGTGGGCGGCGCTGGGCAGCGGGGCCCGGCCTGGTGGGAGTTGGCCGGGCAGCCGCGACCCCTGACTGACCAGTGCCTCAGTCCCTCCCTGGTGAGGCCGGGCCTTCCGCACGTCACTCCCCGGGAACGCCGGCGGCCGCGAGAGAATGAACAGGCTCTCCTCGGACTTTCTCGTCTCGTTTTAACTTTTCAGTAGCACAGGGGATCTCTTCGAGCCAGCTTTTCTCAAATTCCGGCGATTGTTACCGTCCTGTTGCGGGGGGCGGAGCGGGGCAGGGCCGTGCAGTCTTTGAAATACAGATTCCAGGGCCCCTTTCCTCAAATGGCAGTTAAGGTGTGGGGATAGGCCTGGAAATCAGACTTTTTAAACAGACGTCTTCATTGTTTCTAATAATGAACTGCTTTGTGGAGGTCCCTAACCGAATTTGACGCTGGGTTTAATAAACCCTAGTTTTAATTTAGGTCAGCCATCCCTAACTTTTTTTGGCACCAGGGACCGGTTTCGTGGGAAGACAAATTTTTCCATGGACTGGGAAGGTGGGGCGGATGCTTTCTGGATGATTCAAGTGCATTATATCTCTTACTAGTCTAATGAGGCTGCTGATCTGACAGGAGGTACTGGGCTGTGACCCAGAGGTTGGGGACCCCTGAGTTAGGAGACAGTGTCTTGGCCCTGTTCATCCAGCTCTTTAGTGCCAGAGCAGGGTCTAGAACTGCCCATCTTCCTGATAGCCAGCAAGTTGGTGGCCCTGAGGCCACTGGCGAGTCTGACTCTGCCGTTCCTTTGCCCAAAGGCCTCATGGCTGCTGATTCAGATGTTGGTTCTGGGCTGGAGAGAGATTTGTTTGTTTCACTGAAAAATTTGTTGTTTGAGCCTTCGCTTTTCCCTGGCTTCACTGAGCTCCATGTGGCAGCCCGAGATGAGGACTGTGTGCCCTTGATGATTAATTGTTGGTTCTGATGTGTCAGCTAGGTCAGGACATGTAGAAGAGGACTGCTTTTATTTCTTGGAACAAAGAGCCACTGAGACCTTTTTTTTTTCCCCCTCTTGCATGTGACTCTGCGACCCCATGGACCTCCAGCCTCCTCTGTCCATGGGATTTCCCAGGCAAGAATACTGGAGTGGGTTGCTGTTTCCTTCTCCAGGAGATCTTCCCGACCCAGGGATCCTGCGTCTCTTGCACTGGCAGGTGAATTCTTTACCACCATGCCACCAATTTCTGGCTTCTTTGATGCCTTGTCAACAGGTTTAGAAAGTCCTGGCCTCGGCTCCTGACCTTGCAGGGTCCTTAGTCATCTCAGAAGGACAAGGTCCCTCCTCACCTACAGAAGGTAGTTATTAGAGGATCTCTGTCTTCTTAGACCTCATTCTCCCCATTATTGGGCCGAGGCAAGTTGAGGTTTTGTATCTGTCAGCCTCAGTATGTGACTTGTGAATATGAAGAAGTTGATTATAGTTGAGAGCCCCTTTAAAAAGAAGAGTTCTTGGGGGAAGGGATCAGGAAGCAGAGAGAGGATGGGTCACGGAGACTCCCGTCTGGCCCAGGCATCACCAAATGGTAGCATCTCTCCTCCCATTTCTCTTAATCTCTGCTGCCCTTGTGCCGACTCTATGTTCTTTCCCCAGGTTTCTTCCTTTAAGGCAGTTGTGATCCTGTCCCCCTCTCCCTAAAACTCTGGAGATTGATGGTTCCCATCACCTTTGGATGAAGCCTCAACTTTGACTTTTCTCCAGGGACAGTTCTCTCTATTGTCCCTGTCTCCTTGCCCCCTACCTCCTTTCTTTCCAGTTGCTGCACCCAAATCCTTGCTTTCCCACCATGAATCTGTCCCGCCTCTTGGACTTTGTGTCCATATTTTTCTCTGTCTGCATGCCCTTCCCTTCCTGGGCTGACTGGTAGAACTTTCTGAAACCCTTCAAAGTGTCTCCTTCACTGCCAGGCCTTCTCTAACTTAGCGCTTCTGCTTTTTAAATACCTGGCCTGGTGACAGTCACAGGTCCTTTCATATATTTATGTGTATGTGTGGGTGTATGCAGGGGTTTATAATATATACATATAATAAATGTAAATATGTAGCATCATGGGGATTTGGCCACAATACAAATATATACTAACCAGTGGAAAGCCTAGAATATGACACCGTGCTGACTCCACAGAAAACCCCTTTGATACTATGAAGAATAGTTGATTCAGGAGTTAAGGATGAGCAGCTCAATTTTAATCAGATGTACTAGGAAATAGCATTTTCATGAATACAGTTGCAACTAAAATTGGTCACCTATAAAGATTTTAACGGCTACATCAAAGTATATAGTCTAGATGAAAGACGGATTAATGAACCAAGAGACTGAAACAATGGGGTGGGGAAGGGAAGGATTGGGAGTGTGGGATCAGCAAATGATTACATGTGGGATGGATAAACAAGTATAGCACTGCTGCTGCTGCTCAGTTGCTCAGTAATGTCCACCTCTTTGTGACCCCAAGGATTACAGCATGCCAGCTTCCTCTGTCCATGGGATTTTCCTGGCAATAAGACTGGAGTGGGTTGCCATGCCCTCCTCCAGGGGATCTTCATGACCAAGGGATAGAACCCTCGCCTCCTGCCTTGCAGGTGGATTTTTTTTTTTAATCACTGGCCCACTGGGGAAGCCCCCTGTATAGCACAGGGAACTATATTCAATATCCTGTGATAAATCATAATGGAAAAGCACATGAAAAGGAATATGTGTGTGTGTGTATAACTAATCACTTTGTTATACAGCTGAAATTAATACAACATTGAAATCAATTATACTTCAGTGACTTTTCAAATAATAATAATTCAAACAAATACATGCAAATCCTAGCACACGTGGGTTTTACCATTTCCTCTTCACAAGGGAAAGGTGGGTACTTTCCATTTTACATGCAAAGAACCTGAATTGGTTAGGTACTTATTCTGAGCTGAGTTAGTCCCTGCTCTGCCTGTTTCAAAGCGCTGGTTTTCTGGTCTGTTCAAAATCTGCCAGCTGACTTAGCACAGCAAATGAGATGAGGCTTCCCAAGCTACATCCTTGACGACTGGGAAGATGCTGGTCTTACTGCACGGGGTTTGTAAACCTACGTGAACAAACAACTATTTCCTGTGACCATGGTGTGTGACAGCATCTCCTGTCAACCCAGCATTCAGGCATGGAGAGCTTGGAGGAGGTACCACGGAAGTCTACAGCACTTTAAATCAGGGCTTTTTTCTGTTTCTCCTTTTTAGATTTGAGCTGGTTTACCAGCACACCTATGCCTGTAGGCCTCCATGGTTAAACTACAAATCCAACTATGTTAAATGTTTGTAGACAGTGTTATGATGAGTGAATTAGAAAGTCATATAATAGATATGTCATTTTGGTTAACACATAATAAAAATACAACTGTTGTGGGCTTCCTGTGAAATAGTTTCTCTAGGTTCTACTGTGGGTCTGTACCATTACATTGCATACAACTTTTGTTTGTTTATCTAAAATGGGATTTTGTATATATGTAACATCTCTGTAATCTTTATTTTCTCATTTTGTTTATTTTCTCTTAACACCTCTCTAAAAGTTTTTCATAATTTTTAGTTTAAGCTAACAATGTTGGGGGTAGGCTACGGCGTGGAATCTGAAAGCCTGGGTTCTGGGTTCACATCAGCCTTTGTCTGTTTATTAATTAGACGAGTTACTAAGCCTTGATGCCTCAGATTTTGTACCTATAATACGCGGATAATAATACCTTTTTGAATTGTTGGAAAGATTGAGTGATTCCATGTAAAGTACTTAAGACAGTGATTCTGCATGTGATATTGACTCTCTGAGTGCAGTTATCATTCATACAGGTTCTTGACTTTGTCTGGGATCTTGAGACACTGTACAGCAGTTGAGCCCTGGCTGGAGGGAGGGGGTATGGAGGGGCAGGCTGGCCAGGCCACCCCTCACCCCGCCCCTCTGCCCTGTTTCTCTCCCAGGCTGCTGCCCTGTTGGCAGATCACCTGCCAGGCCTCCCTGGCCCTGAGCAGTGCACAGATGGGGATGGTACCCCAGGAAGCTCCTGAGTCAGCGCAGTGCCCGAGCCCTTCCCTGGCCAGCCCGAGTGCCAAGGATGTGCTTCGGAGGAAGCACAAGAGGAAGAGCCGACAGCACCAGCGCTTCATGGCCCGGAAGGCCTTGCTACAGGAGCAGGGGCTGCTGAGCCCACGCCCGGAGCCAGGACCCTCCCCTCTGCCTACGCTGCCCGGGGCCCTGCCAGGCGTAGAAGCCACCAGCAGTGCGAGACAGCGTCCGCGGGCTGAATCTGGAGGTACTGGGTGCAGCAGAAAGCCAGCCCCCAGGGACTCTGCCGGCCCCTTGCCCAGCAAGTGCGTGGCCATCGACTGCGAGATGGTGGGCACGGGACCCCGAGGGCGGGTGAGCGAGCTGGCCCGCTGCTCCGTGGTGAGTTACCACGGCGAGGTCCTCTACGACAAGTATGTCCGGCCTGAGATGCCCATCGTGGACTACCGCACGCGCTGGAGCGGCATCACCCGGCAGCACATGCGCAAAGCCATCCCCTTCCAGGTGGCCCAGAAAGAGGTGAGGGCAGGGCAGGGGGCTTAGCCCGGGTCTGAATTAACACGTAGCCACTGGAAGCAGAGAGACCTTGGGAACCTTACTAAGCTTCTTCAAACAGTGGGTTTCCTCTCCATAGGAAAGTGTGAGTAGAAATCCTGCCTTACCTGCATGGAGTGATTGCTGGCCGTCCCGCGTGGTAGTGTGTGTGGAAAGGCTCTGCCTTTTCCACAAGGTGGGAAACACCTTAAACTCCACATTTTCTTCTTCTGTTATAAAAGTACTATGTGTCTGCATAAAATGTGTAAGGTCCATAGCGCTGTCACCTTTAGGTGTTTTTTGGTATTTTTTTTATCTTAGTTTTTCATTGCTTTGTTGTCATTCAGTCACTAAGTTGTATCCCACTCTTTGTGCCTTCATGGACTGCAGCATGCCAGACTTCCCTGTCCTTCACCGTCTCCCGGAGTATGCTGAAACTCATGTCCATTGAGTCGGTGATGCCATCCAGCCATCTCATCCTCTGTCGTCCCCTTCTCCTCCTGCTTTCCATCTTTCCCAGCATCAGGGTCTTTTCCAGTGAGTCAGCTCTTCCCATCAGGTGGCCAAAGTATTGGAGCTTCAGCTTTAGCATCAGTCCTTCCAATGAATATTCAGGGTTGATTTCCTTTAGGATTGACTGGTTTGATCTCCTTACTGTCCAAGGGACTCATTGCTTTGAGGAAAATTAATCTGTGGTTGGGACCACACTAACATGCCAGGAACTCCCAAACATCCTTGAGCATAGCAAATATACCTAAATCCTTATTAACAATCTTGGATTCTTGTCCCAGATCCTCTCTGTAGAGATTCTGATCCTGCAAGTCTCTAGGTCTTGGGAGGGATCTGATGTATGTTTCTAAAAACCATCGTGTTGTACAAACCTGCACGATAAATACCCCAGAGCTGATGGGGAAAATGGGGTTAGAGACACAACATTTTAACTTTATCAATGACCCCCCAGATAAAAAGATAGAAACCTAATAACAGTGGAAGCACAGTTTTGCACAGGTTCAGTGGTTAAGGAAAGTATAAATACACTGATATGGTGCTTTGTGAGCAAACTCTAGAAGATGGTGAAGAACAGGAATCCTAATGTGCTGCAGTCCCTGGGGTCGTCAGGAGTCGGACATGACTTGGTGACTGAACTGAACTGAACTTGCCTTGAAAAGACCCAGACATGACTTAGTGACTGAACTGAATTTGCCTTGATAAGACCTGGAGCACTCAGGGAAGTAGCTGTCCGGAGGATGGTGGCTTGTGCTGTGGTGAAGTGGTTAAGTGTGTTACCTGAAGTCAGGAAGTAGGAAGCCAGGTGTGGGCAGCATACAGGTGAGCTAAGCTGGCTGGTAGACTTCCGAGGTGTGGGCACTTTGTGATTCCCCTGTGGCTCTGCTAAGCTGGGTATGGTTTTTGCATTCATTCAGTGTTTATCAAGGGCAAAATTTGCATTATTCTCAAGTCATATCAACCACGTTGGACCATTTTGCATTTTTAAACCAAGCATTGTAGCAAAGCTATACTTAACATTTCTGGTTTATTCTTGGGATGAGGTACATTTAGGGAATACTGGTACAAGTCATCTTGTGTCTTCCTTTTTCACAGCAGATACAGTGTAAGCATTTCTTTTAAAAGGATATTTCAAGTGAGCTGGTTAGGAATAGAGGCAGCAGGAAGGCAGACATGGTGACCCCCAGCTCTTTGGGACGTCTCTCGGCCTGCCAAGAGCAGGCCCGCGCTGGATCGGCCCATGCTCCGAGCCAGTATGAATGGGGTGTGCTGGGTCCCTTCCCACCATGTGGCTCATGTGTATGTGTGTGGGGTGGTGGCCCATCCCTACCACTGAAGTCTAAATGTGCCTTATCCATATGCTATGAAAGCTGAATTTAGTGATAAGCCATGTGTCGCCAGCAGAGGTGGCTGTGGGAGCTGGCAGCGGGTGATAAGGAGATGCGAGCCCAGGGAAGAGGGCTCGAGGGGTTTGCAGGCCCGTGGCCCTGGATGTGGCCTCCCTTGGAAGGCAGGAAAGAGAGGCTCACCCTGTGCAGATGGTCTGAGCTGAGCCAGAGAGCAGGTTCCGAGGATGAGAGGCGGGAGTCCTGGACAGCAGAGGGACAAAGGGACAGAATCCAGAAGACAGGGACTGCCGCGTTAGTGCTGAAAGAGCTGTCCTTGGTCGCGTGTCTCCAGTGCCTGGCACCGTTCTGTGACTTCACCTGGCACGTCTGCCCGGACTGCCTCCTGTGAGCTGAGCTGTCACTGGGCACCACTAGTCTAGGCACACATGTCCCTGCATTTTACAGTGAGCTTACACTGAGGGGCAGCTGAACAGGCCATGCAGAGCTGAACGTGTACTTAGACAACATGGTTAATCCCCCAAAGGAGAGAACAGCAGGGGTCCTGGTGGCAGCCGGGGAGGCCTCCTGACGTTTAAAGCTGAGACCTGCCGTGAGAGGAGCTGGTGGAAGTTGGGGGTGGAAGTGGGTGGGAAGGGGTGGGGCGTGGCTAAGTCTTCCAGGCTGAGAAGAGGCTGGGCCAGGAGGAAATATGCTTGTCTGGGGTAACCTGCCCATCTAAGAGCTCCTTAGTGCTCACAGCCACCCGATCAATGCGGTTGCCAGCTTTCCCATTTTGCAGGTGCGGGACAGGCCCCTGGTGATAGTGAGTAGTGAGTCAAGGACTGCATTCAAACTTTGAGCAGCCTGATTAACTGTGGGGCCCATGGTCTCCCCTGTCTAGGCTGCCTCCCCCCAGAGGGGTCCCTGGACCACTGTTCAGGGTGTCAGGATGTGCCCCTTCCTGTTCACAGATCCTCAAGCTTCTAAAGGGCAAGGTGGTGGTGGGTCATGCCCTGCACAACGATTTCAAGGCCCTCAAGTACATCCACCCTCGGGGCCAGACCCGGGATACCACTTCCGTCCCCAGCCTCCTCAGCCAGCCAGGGCTCCACGTTCGGAATCGTGTCTCTCTTAAGGACCTGGCCCTGCAGCTGCTGCACAAGAAGATCCAGGTGCGTGGGGCCAGAGGGGAGCGGGAGGGGGAGCCAGGGGCCACGGGCAGGCAGTGCGGGGCCTGCCGCTTCCCCAGCCTGGTCCTGGGACTCCCGAGTGTACACGCAGCCCTGGGTGTTTTCTCTCCACCCTTCTGCTTTCCAGTAGGTTGTGACCGTCAGCCACCCACTCCCAGGCTGCTCTCTTTAGATCCATCTCCCACCCAGTTCCTGCTTCTGTCCTCTTGTTCACGTGTAGAACTCCTCTTGCAACCAGGAGTGGTCAGGGGTACCTGGTCACTCTTGCTCCTCCTGTGTTTCACATTCATCATTCCATCTGAATTGGATTTTATGTATTTATTTATTCCATATGACTGCATCGAGTAAATCTTCGTTGCTGCCTGTGGACCTTCTCCAGTTGCGACGAGTGGAGGCCACTCTCTGGTTGTGGTGCTCAGGTTTCTCGATGCAGTGATTTCTCTTGTTGTAGGGCATGGGCTAAGCCCGCAGCCTGTGGGATCTTCCCGGACTAAGGAATGAACCCACATCTCCTGCATTGGAAGGCAGATTCTTTACCACTGAGCCACCTGGGAAGCCCAGAATCAGGGATTTTTAAACCAGTTTTTATATTTAAGGAAATAGGCAAAAGAGACGGCTTGTGATACCGCTGGCGTTCCAGTGCTCTTCTGTATGACTGGGACTCATGTCCTTCTCACTGAACCAGGCTGTGCACCCGTGTTCTCAGAGTACACGTCCCTGGGCCTGGACCCGGAGCCTGGGGTGCCTGACGTCCCCCCAGGACCACGGGCAATGACGCGGGGGCTCTCGTCTGCAGGTGGGCCAGCACGGGCACTCGTCAGTAGAAGACGCCGTGACAGCCATGGAGCTCTACCGGCTGGTGGAGGTGCAGTGGGAGCAGCAGGTGGCCAGTAGCCTCCGGGCCCCCCCGGAGGACAGAGAGCCCGACAGCAGCACGGACATGGAGCAGTACATGGAGGACCAGTACTGGCTGGAGGACCTGGCCCAGGGCACCAGCGGAGATACGGGGGAGGCGCCGGGCAGACGGGAGTGAAGGAGGAGAAGCTCCCTTGGGGAGCAGGAACGGGAGAGCGCCTGGGGCGGGATGCTTGGCTGCCCCCAGGGTCTGAAGAGGGGACCACCTGCCCACAGCACAGCCCTCCCTCCCCAACTCCTGTGGTTTTGCTAATGGCACTTTATAGACACCGTGAAAATGGCAGGTGGGCTAGAACCCAGTAGAAGTAGGGAATGCGCCAACAGATGACATCACCGGCCGCCCCCACCCTCATGCTGTGCTCTCTAAAGGGATCATGTCTCCCTCCTTGGTGGTGGGTGGGGGTGTCAATATTCCAGAGTTCTCTTATCTCCACCCAGTGACCTGGGGCAAAGTTTTCATCCTGTTGTCACCAGCTACCTCTTCCTCCAGAGTCACTTTCAAGAGAATAAATATGCCCTGAGGCTATACAGTTAAGGCCACTCCAAGGCCATTTTGTCCCTTTCTGAACTGGAACTCTGGCAGCAGCGGGACAGCAGAGACCTCAGATCACGGGGAGCTGGGTCCTCGCCTGCTTGCGGGCAGAAGTCCCCAGGTGCTCTGGGAGGAGGGAAGGCAGATAAGCTCTGGGTGGAGACTGGCATATGTATCTTGATCCAAGTCAGGAATTCTTCCTGCCCACTCAGCACTAGGCTTTCAAACAGAAGTCTGAGAAACAGTAGTACAGTTTAAATTCTGGGACCCCTCTGCAGAATTGCCCACTGGGATCTTTATTTATTGAGAGCAAGATCACAGGTCTCTAGGGGTGCAGAGGGCAGGTCTGCCAGGGTTAGACTGGGCATTGACAGTTGTGTAGTTGTGCCCACACTTGGGTGGGTGCCCCCAGCCACTTGTGGTTAGGTGAGTGGGTGGTTTTTCTCTAAGTTACTAAAAATGTTCTCTGTCAGGATTCATCTCCCACCCCTCTGTTCTTTTTCCCTAAGGACCAGTTTTGTGGTATTGGGGTACCCAAGAGCTCAAGTCACACAGAAATTCTGAGCCCCATCTTAGCTCACCACTTAATAGCTTTGACACCTAGGTAAGTGTGTGACTTCACTCAAGTCTGATCCCCCATCTGTAAAATGAGGATAAGGGTACCACCTACCTCACAGGGTTGTTAGGCTCTGTGAGATGTGTTTTCTTTAAGGATTAGTGTTAGGTTCTTCCACACCCTGGGGCCATTTGAGAGCTTTGCCCCAAGAAATGAAATATTTCCACCCCTGTCAGTAAACAAAGGAAGTCACTGTCATCAGCAATTGCAGATTGCAGTCCTTAAACAGTGAACTGGTGAACCCTGAGGAAACTGAATACCTGCTGAAAAGAATACCTGCTATCTAGCAGTCATCAGACTGGCCACTCCCTACAGGTGAGCCCTAAGAAAACTCAGGATGTGAAACACAGGATACTGGCCCCAGAGAGCTGAGGCGCAAATCAAAGGAATGATTTCAGCTTGAGCCCAGACTCTTGCATCTTCCCATACATGGAAAAGCACTAAACTCCTTAACCTGAGATTTCTGGTTTTCTTTAACGAGCATCATATTTTGATGTTCAGACCACTTGCCCTTTTTTTCAAAACTCCTGTATAACCTGGCTCCACTCCTTGCCTGCTCAGAGCAGTTTCTCAGAGCTCTGGAATGCTGTCTCCTGGGCTGCAGTCCTCATTTTGCCCAAATAAAACTTAACTCACCTCTCTCACGTTGTGCGTTTTTTTGCTCAGACAGGATTTGTCCTTGTGGCTACTCCAGTAGGTGGGACGTGGGCCACCGAGGACAGCTCAGAGTCTGTGGACCCTCTTCCTATGCTGCATGGATTTTGTATCAAGCTCAGCAAAGCAGCAGAGCCAGGGACGGAGAGACACTCCTGAAAACATAACAGCAAATGTAGGGCCGCAGACTGTTCTGGGAGCTGGCTGAGTCACTGACCCACTGCCTCCAGGACTTTGTTCTAGGTTCCTTAAAAGCCTGGCTGAGGCCACACAGCTAAGCAGTTGCTTAGGGTCTTTGGACTTTGGGCTGAGGGATGGAGCTGTTCGCATGTGGAGATGTACTGGGTTTAAAATCAGCTTTGTAAAACCGTTCTGGAATAAAACTCAACTGTAAAAATGGGTGAAATGGCCTTTTCTTTGAATCTCCAGCTGAGGTGGGAGGGGGCTTGGTGGAGGGGTTGTGGGACCCAAGGGCACCGAGTCTTGCTGGGTGATTTGGCCTTTGAGGTGGGTAGCTTTCAAGATGGTGCTTTGGGATGTGGCAAGAAAATATTAGAGCTACAGAATTTATGTAGTTTATTTTTTTATGTAACTGCCCTATCATTTATAGAGCACAAGTTTACTCAATTTGTTTCTCTTTGAAGCTATGTACTCCCTTTTTATCTTAAATTTTTTTTTTAGTTTTAAATATAAAATACACAGCTTAAAATTTACCATCTTAACCATTTTTAAGTGTACAGTTAATAGTGTTAAACATACCCACATTGTTATGCAACTCATCTCCAGAACTGTTATTATCTTACAAAACTGAGACTGCTCATTAAACAATAACCCCTCAGACCCTCCTCCTTTCAGCTCCTGGCAACTACCATTCCACTTTGTTTTTGTGTATTTGATTAGATACCTCATATAAGTGAAATCTGACTCGATGGACATGAATTTGAATAAACTCCAGGAGATAGTAAAGCACAGGGAGACCTGGTGTGTTGCAGTCTGTGGGGCTGCAAAGAGTCAGACATGATTGAACAATGATAAGTGGAATCCTACAGTATTTGCCTTTTTGTGTCTGGCTTATTTCATTTAACAAAATGTCCCCAGAGTTCATTGCTGAGGTTGTAGGATGTGTCAGAATTTCCTTCCATTTTAAGGCTGAGTAACATTCATTTGGATGTACATGCCATCATTTGTTTATCCAGCCATCCATGGACAAGCATTTTGTTAAAAATTGTTAAAAATGCTACTGTATCTCTCCAGGACTCTACTTTTGATTCTTCTGGATATACACCCAGAAAAACGGGATTGCTGGCTCATAGTAGTTCTGCGTTTAATTTTTTAAGGGATCTCATATTGTTTTACACAGTAAACTGCATCATTTTACATTCCCAATGGCTACACAAGGGTCCCAATTTCTCCACATCCTCACCAATATATGTTATTGTGATCTTTTTGGTAATAACCATTTTGACAGGTGTGAGGTAGTTACTTGTGGTTTTGATTTGCACTTTCCTGATTTAATGTTGAACATCTTTTTCACATGTTCATTGGTATATAGTTTAATTCATTCTTTTGTGTCTGTGTATTTAAAAATGTATTCATTCCACTAGTACAGTTTGATGTGTTTTAAGTTGAACCACATGGAATTGCTATATCTGACTGTTTGAGGTGGTTCCATCTGTGGTATGTAATTTTGGGATTCACATACATATTTTAGGGGTTTGTGACAGCTGGATTGCAAAGGCAGATTGCCTATAGGGACAGGTATGTGACCTACCAATGGGCCAACTGTGGCAGGGTATGTGTCAGGTAAGGTTGAGAGGTTTGCCAGGACTGCCTCACTTTCCTGCTGTCACCTGACCCAAAGAGAGCTGGGGACTTGGTCTGGTTGATGAGTGACACTGTTAAACCTGGGAAGCATCACCACTAGGAACCCTGCAGCCTATCCCCTGATTGGAGTCAGGCATTCTTCCGCTAGGCTTTTAGCAGTTCCTGTGTCCAACCTCAGCACACAGTTGTTAATTCAGTCGCTCAGTCATGTCTGACTCTTTGTGACCCCATGGCCTGCAGCACGCCAGGCTTCCCTGTCCATCATCACCCAAAGGTTGCTCAAATTCATGTCCATTGAGTTGATGATGCTATCCAATCAGCTCATCCTCTGCTGCCCTCTTCTCTTTTTGCCTTGAGTCTTTCCCAACATCAGGATCTTTTCCAATGAGTTGTCTCTCTGCATCAGGTGGTCAAAGTATTGGAGTTACAGCATCAGTCCTTCCAATGAGTATTCAGGGTTGATTTCTTTGAGGATGGACTGGTTTGATCTGCTTGCTGTCCAAGGGACTCTCAGGAGTCTTCAGCACCACAATTTGAAAGTATCATTTCTTCAGTGCTCAGCCTTCTTTAGGGAGTTACTTTTTCAATGTATGTTCAAGTAGCAAGAACTTTGCATCTCCTCTTAAATCAGGGTAACAATCCTTTATGCATTTGAGGAACAAAAAATCCCCAGACAGTCTTGAATTCAAGGAAAAGTTGCTCATTCAGAATGGGAACCAAAACTTCTAACTCAAATTTGAACCAAGAACACAGGAACAATGCCTCACCCTTTGAACATTTTTCAGTATCTGGTTTTCTTTTTGAGGTCTGTTAAATGAAACTGAATGTCTTTTGGTGAATACATCAAGAACCTGGGGAAATTCCTTTCCAAGCCGCAAATCTTTGTGACAATTTGGAGGCAGTCAGATTTGACAGCTCAAATCTTGTTCCATGTGGATCTATGGTAAGAAGCAAGAGGGGGGTGATCAACTTACCCCAGTACTTACAATTTCCTCATTAAAGCTGATTCTATTTTTGCCCCAGTTGTAACTCATTTATTCAATAGATACTGAGTGCTCCTTATGTACTAGACATTGTTCTAAAGGGTCAGAGTTCTAGCCTGGGAGAGCTATCGACTTAAAAAAATATTCACAACCAAAAAGATGAGAGTTATGTTTTATTCAGTGGGATTTTTAGGACTTATACCCACTCCAGTATTCTTGGGCTTCCCTTGTGGCTCAGCTGGTAAAGAATCTGTCGGCAATGCGGGTGACCTGGGTTCGATCCCTGGGTTGGGAAGATCCCCTTTAGAAGGGAAAGGTTACCCACTCCAGAATTCTGACCTAGAGAACTCCATAGACTGTATCATCCATGGGGTTGCAAAGAGCTGGACACAACTGAGGACTTTCATTTCAGGCCCAGGAGACGGCATCCCAAGTGACCACGGCATCCCAAGTGACCCTGAAAGAACTGCTCCAAGGAGGTGAGGGGAGAAGCCAGGTTATACAGAGGTTTTGAAACAAAGTTTTGCAAAAAAACACCCCAAAGTTTTGAACTTTTGTAACAAAAATTTTGCAAAAGTTTTGGGTAGTCTGAACATCAAAAGGTTATTGTTATTAAAGAAAACCAGATATCCCAAGGGCTTCCCAGGTGGTGCTCGTGGTAAAGAACCTGCCTGCCAATGCAGGTAGACGTAAGAGACGTGGGTCCAATCCCTGGGTTGGGAAGATCCCCTGGAGACGGGCACAGCAACCCAGTCAAGTATTCTTGCCTAGAGAATCCCATGGACAGAGAAGCCTGGCCGGCTGTGGTCCATAGGGATGCAAACAGTTAACATAGCGTGCATGCATGCACAGATATCCCAGGTTAAGGAATTCAGTGCTTTTCTACGCATGGGAAGATGCAAGAGTCTGGGCTCACTGGAGTCATTCCTTTCACATGCGTCTCAGCTATCCCGGGCCAGTACCTGTGTTCTTTTCACATCCTGAGCTCCCTCGGGCTCACCATAGGGAGGGTGGCTGCCGTCTGATGACTGTTAGACTGTTAGACACCTTCCTGAGTGCCCTCAGGCTTCACCAGATCACACTGGAGGGCTACCCTGCTGATGTCGGTGACATCCTTGTCTACGGATATGGCAGAAGATACTCCATTTCTCAGAGCATCAGTTCAGTTCAGTTCAGTAGCTCTGTTGTGTCTGACTCTTTGCAACCCCAAGGACTGCAGCACATCAGGCTTATAGCCCCTAGATAATACAGCCAGGCTGGTGGGGGCTCTGCCCAGGCCTGCTTCTCCTTGTCCTCAAACAGTGTCAGCATAGCCGGAGGCAGAGCCCTTCAGAGGCAGACATGACCGCTTCTGAGACACCCCTGAGCCAGTGGAGGCCGTAGGGCTCCCTCACTGCCTCCTTGCCTCTGCTGGGTCAGCGGTGGGGGCTAGCCCCTCTTGTGTCCCAACCTTCTCCTGCACTTCCCAATTAATAACCTCAGTGTCCCAAGAGCCAGTTCTCCCTGCCCCCATGAATGACCTCACAGAGCATCAGATTTGATGGTGGCTCCGGAAGTTGTGGGACCGTCCCTGGACTCCAGTCCCCAGGATGTTTATTCTCTGGGCAGAGGGTGAGAACCAAGAGACAGATGTTGCAATCTACAACATTCACATCAGCCATGTCACCTGAGGAGGGGCGGGCTTGAGGGATTAGGTGAGGGGGCAGGGGCAAAGAAAGATGGGACACCCAGACACAGAGCCGGCCGCCAGCTTCGTCAGTCCTGACTCTGGCTGCTGAGCTCCCCACAGGCCGGCAGCCCTAGGAGATGAGGCAACCCAGCCCACGTGCCCGGCCTCCGCCCCTGACTTCACTTGATAACAAACCAGAAACTGAAACAGGGTCAGGATTCCCGGCTTAAAGTCAGAGATGAGTCACTGCTAAGAGCAACTGCAGTAGCTGAGAAAGGGGCATCAGAGAGGCAGGCAGGTGAGAGCGGGAGATAGGATGGGGGCTTCCAGACACTTCTCCGGGGCGGTGGCCAGGGGTGGTGGTGGGAGGGGGGCATTTTGGTCCTGAGGCTGCCTGGCAGGACCCGGGAGAGGCCGTGGGATCGCTGGGTGAAGAGGCCGGTTGGGGTGGCAAGGATCCAGCTTCTCTCTGTGCCAGGTGGTGTTGTGACAAAGGGCAGGGCAGAGGGTGTAGGCTGCCTGGGAGGTGGCTGAGGATGCCTGGGGCCTCGGGCAGCCTTTCGAGTGATGGCTCTCCTGCTGCCCCCGTCCAGCACATCTGGGCGTCCCAAGGGAACATGGCAAGGAGCGCAGACGTGGTGGCCATGGACTGCGAGATGGTGGGGCTGGGGCCCTTCCGGGAGAGTGGCTTGGCTCGCTGCAGCCTTGTGGACTACCACGGCTCCGTGCTCTATGACAAGTTCATCCGGCCCGAGGGTGACATCACTGACTACAGGACCCCGGTCAGCGGAATTACAGCTCGGAACATGGAGGGGGCCACTCCGTTTGCCGTGGCCAGGCTGGAGGTAAGCGAAGGCCAGATGCTAGCCGGGCGAACACACACACACACCCCCACACATACACGCTCCTCTGGTGCTTCCCCCCTGGTTGCTGGATCTGTGACCTGTAATTCCAGCCATGTCCGACTCCCCACCACCCCTGCACCAGAGCGTGAGAAACCCATTGGTGTGGCCATCGCATCCCCAAGGATCAGACTTCAGACAACCTTAGGCTCGCCTCTGGGAGCAGCCTTCACGGCATCTGGTCCACCTTGCTGGTCTCATGATGGGGACATCCTGCCTGATGCTCCCTGCACACTGATTTGGGGGCTAGATTCCCCATTCTTTCCTCTATGCTGGCTGCCTCCAGGGAGCCCAGCGGGGGAAATGGGGGGTGGATGGGTCTTGGAGGCCCTCACTGGCAGGGGACCCCTCCCTGAGCCCTGGGAGAGCTCGCTCCCAGACCCCCACAGGCCATCCACCCTTCCAGGTGGGTGGGGCATGCCAAAGTCTCCCAGTCCTCTTGCCCTCCAACTTGCGACACCTCCAGTTTACTTTCTGTTTCTCTGAGTCATTTGATGAAAAGGAAACTCAGTCCCTCTAGAAGTGGCACCAGGGTTTAGTCATTTCTGGGAAGGTGAGCTCAATTTGGGGAAGTTCATGAAGAACACAAAGACACAGGGTTCACTTTAGTCCCACGCACCGCACATGTGTGTGGCTCCCTGTGCCAGAGATGAGGTCACAACAATAGCCACTGTTTTCTGAGCACTCGCTACTCACCGGATGCTCCCCGAGTTCCATCTGGGAGCTCATTCATGCCTCACAAAGCAGCCTGCCAGGAGCTGGTTAGGTCAGGGCTAAGAGGGCCAGGTTTGAATCCTGGCTTCGCCCCCTACCTGCTAAGTGACCTTGTGCAGATTCCTTGAACTCTCTGTACCCCATTTCCCCGATGGGCGTGATGCCAGTAGCAATCTCACAGGATTATTGTGAGGATTGAGAGAGGGCTTGAAAAGAGTGCCTGTAGAAGTATTAAAAACCCATTAACTAGGGACTTCCCTGGTGGTCCAGTGGTTAAGATTCTGCGCTTCCAGTGTAGGGGGTGCAGGTTCGATCCCTGGTCGAGGGCCAAAGATCCCACAGGCTGTATGGCACGGCCAAAAAATACACACAGAGAACAGAATAAACCTGTTAATTGTTAGGATTCTTCCCTTGTTCCCATATTACAGATGAGGAAACAGAGTCTCTTGAACTAAATGTTGGTTTGCTAGGGCTGCGGAAACAAAGTACCACAAAGTGGTGGCTTAGACAAGAGAAATGTCTGTTCTCACAGTTCCAGAGGCTAGAAGTCTCCCATCAAGGTGTCAGAAGGCTCCTTCTGAGGAGGGAAAACCTGACCTGTGTCTCTCTCTTAGCCTCTGACAGTTTGCTGGTCATCTGTTTATTTATTAATTCGTTTATTTTGGGCTGCACTGGGTCTTCGTTGCGTTGCACAGGCTTCTCACTGGCTTGGAGCACAGGCTCTAGGCTCATAGGCTTCAGTAGTCGCAGCACGCTAGCTTGGAAGTTACAGTTCACGGGCTCAGTAGTTGTGGCGAAAAGGCTTAGTTGCTCTGTGGCGTGTGGAATCTTCCCCGGCCAGGGACTGAACCCATGTCCTCTGCATTGGCAGGCAGATTCTTATCCACTGCGCCATCAGGGAAGTCCTGCTGGCCATCTCTGATGTTCCTTGGTTTAGAGAAATGTCACCCCAATCTCCGCCTTCATGTTCACACATGCATGCCTCTGTACCCAGATTTCCCCTTTTTATAAGGACACCAGTCGTATTTGTTAGGGCAGCAGTACCAACCTTTTTGGTATCAGGGACTGGTTTCATGGAAGACAATGCTTCCATGGATGGGGACTGGGGGATGGTTTCAGGAGGATGATTCAAGCTCAGTAGGGTTTGAACCTCTGAGAATCTAATGCTGCCGGTGAGCTGAGAGGAGGCAGAGCTCAGGTGGTGATGTGAGTGATGGAGAGCGGCTGTAAATACAGGGGAGGCTTCGCTCGCACCTCCTCTCACCTCCTGCTATGTGGCCTGGTTCCTAACCAGCAATGCACTGGTAGCCGGGGACCCCTGTGTTATGGAACCAACACATTCCATTATGACATCCTAACAGTAACACCTACCATGACCCCATTTCCAAAAAGGTCACATTTTGAAATGGTTGGGGCTAGGGTTTCAACAAGTGGATTTGAGGGGAAACACTGAACCCATATTACTGAGTATCTCTTACAAGTTCAGAAAAATAGAATGTAGAAGGCTCAAAACCTCTAGACCTGTGCGTCCAATAGAGCATCTCCTGTGACTAGTGAGCACCTGAAAAGTGGCTGGTCTGAACTGAGATGTAAATATAAAATATGCACTGGATTACAAAGACCTGAATTTATAAAAGAACCATAAAATGCCTCAATAATGTTTAACATGGATGATATGTTAAAATGATAATATTTTGGTATGTTAGGTTAAATAAAACATACTGAAGGTAATTTAACCTATTTCTTTTAACTTTTAAAATTTGGCTGCTGATGATTTAAAGTTACACACATGGCTCATGTTATGTTTCTTTCTACTGGATGGCACTGTTCTAGAGGAGGTAACGGGACACCAAGGCGCTCGGAGAAGGGGGCGCAGTACATCAGGGTGGTTCTAGAAAGGCTGCACGAGGCTGGTGCTGTTTGCCAAGGGGTGGGAGGATTCAGTGCCCGCAACTCAGTGTCATAGGGAGCCACTGAAGGTTCTTGAGCGAGAGCATGGCAGGATCAAAACCACTGTCAAGGAAACCTGAACTGGGGTGCTGGGGAGACTGGGCGGGAGTGAGGAAGGAGATGACAGTAGAGAGAAGAGTCAGAGAGACTGAGGAGCAGTTGCAAGGATCTTAGTCATCGGCAGCATCTGGAGGACGGGCAGGAAGGAAGTGTTAGGACGGAGAACAAGACGGGGAGGGCAACACGAAGGAGAGGTGGGGCTGTAGGTTCTGATGGGAGCCCAGGGACCCTGCGTGGAGCTGCCCACACTCAGACCCCCACTGAGCAGCCAGGTGGGCCGCATGGCATCTCTTCTCCTCCTTCCCTGTCCCTCCCCACCCCAAGGTGGAAGAAAGGGCAGACGAGTCCAGAGCGGGGGAGAGGAGGCGGCAGAGAAATGGAATTCCCCGGACGCCCTCAGGCACCGGCCTGAGAGTCAGGACACCTTGGTCCTCATCCACACTCGGTGCTGAGATGTTTTTTTCCCTCAGCTGGAGATGATGCCAGGCCCTTCCGGTGTGTAACTCGGAGTGCTGCCCATAGCCATTCAAGAGGGCTCCCCAGGTGTCTCCAGTGGTAAAGAATCTGCCCACCAATGCAGGAGACGCAACAGACACAGGTTCAACCCCTGGGTTGGGAAGATCCCCTGGAGAAGGAAATGGCTACCCGTGCCAGTATTCTTGCTTGGAAAATCCCAAGGACAGAGGAGCCTGGGGGCTATAGTCCACGGGGTCACAAAGAGTTGGACACAACTGAGCGCGTGTGCGTGCACACACACACAGACACACTCACACACACACAGACACACTCACACACACACTCACACTCACACTCACAGACACACACACACACTCACACACAGACACACACACACTCACAGACACACACATTCACACACACACACTCACACACACACAGACACTCACACACAGACACACACACACTCACACACACACACTCACACAGACACACACTCACACAGACACACACACACACTCACACACAGACACACACTCACACACAGACACACACACTCACACACACACACACTCACACTCACACACAGACACACACACACTCATACTCACACAGACACTCACAGTCACACAGACACACTCACTCACAGCCGTACGAGGAGGGAGGCGGGGATCCAAGGACAGGGCAGCTCTTTGCAAACCACCCTGTGGTTCACATTTCCTGCTCTGTCACTGACTGGTTGGTGTGACGTTTGGCAAGTTATTACTGAAGCTTTCTGAGCCTCTGCTGTCTCATTAGAGAAGGAGGACTTACGTGTCCTCCCTGGCCTTGGGAACGCTGGGTGTGGTGATGTGGTCTGTAGCTCTAAGCACAGTGTCTGGTTCAGGGTTGATGGTCACTCCATGTGCCCCTGGAGAGGGCAGGGCAGAAACTCAAATTTTACATCCAGTCCCCTTTCCAACTTCCCCTGAGAACCACGGGCTTAGATTCTGGTTCTCGTTTTCTGCACAAGGTAAGCTCCTTGCTCATCTCTCCTACCCGGCTGCCAGAAAAACTTCCCCAGGCCTGGCTCAGATCACAGTCCTCACTCTCATCCCCACCCCCTGGTTCAAATACCTGCAAAGGCTGCCGTTGCCTAGAGTCCCCCTACCCCAACATCCATGGTCCCCCAAACCCCACCTACCTACATTTTTTTGCATCTCTCTCAGTTCAGCCATCACCCCTCAGTGCTTCAGCCCCATCCCATCCCCCTCCCATTGCCCATTCCTTCCCCTAGAAATACTGTCATCCTGGCAGGCCCAGCATCCTGTGTGATGCTCTTCCTCACTCCTCACCCTCTCCACCCCCACTGTATCCTCTTGGGAGTCTCACCCTCCTTGCTATAGCCCACACACTCAGCATGCAGGATCTCAATTCCCCCACCAGGGATCGAACCGATGCCTCCTGCAGTGGAAGCGCAGAGTCCTAACCCCTGGACCGCCAGGGAAGTCCCATAGACCACACACTTTAGAGCTTGCCTGGCCACACACATGGGTCTGCCTGGCTCTGCAGCTCCAGCCGTGTATTTTATCTACACCAGGTTGGAGACTGTGCTTTGAACATAACAGGTGCCCTGAGAATGTTTGTGGGACTGGAGTTGAACTGATTTTCGTAATACTACAGGAGTCCTGGGGCTTCCCAGGTGGCGTTAGTGGTAAAGAACCCACCTGCCAATGTAGGAGACCTAAGAGACGCAGGTTCAGTCCCTGGGTTGGGAGGAAGAT